GGAGCAGATCAGCACCAGACAAACAACTACCGAAAAAAGAAAGATCTGCAATAATAAACGATAAAAAATGACGCGACGTTAATCAAGGATAAATATGAGAAACACGATGGGAATGATCCATAATAAATCAGAAATCAAATAAATTGGAAAAGTAGTACATTATAAATGAGCATCAAAAAGACACAAGAGAAGACAAAAAGAAGTGCGGGAAAATGCGAGTGACAGCACTTGAATATTTATTGTTCGCGGTCATTCAAAGGTGAACGCGCTCTACGCAGTGGTATTGGAGCGAGCTATTTCACGACCCGATGCCAGTTCCAAGCCAAACATCAGCCTACCCCTCATTTGAACACCCTAGCTTCTTTGAAAGTGGAGCCTCTGGAGAGGAGAAGGCAGGGCTGTGGAGCACTAGGCCCTTGCTACCTGAGTTTGAGCAATTTCAAAGAAATGCGTTTAGAAAAAATTTCTCCGTTGTAATCCGGCCGTGATCATCGGGCTATTCTTAAAGAGGGGAAAGGTACCGGAATTTCGATGCTTTCTACTTTCCAGCGAGACTTTAGTATGATCCTAAAACACATGTTTTCGCCAAGGACATCAGGAAATAGTCCATTGGGCGCCAATTGGCATCACCTCTGCAATGCGCCATGCATGGGCTTTCATTGCAGAGGTTTTGGGAAGAAGCACTTTTCACATAGGGCTCCCTAAGTGCAAGTATTACATGTGCTCCTGCGACCAGAAAGGTTTGTGTACTTTCTGGTTATTATTCGTCACGTCGTGGGTTCTTTGGTTTGTTTATTATTCATGACGTCGTTGTGGGCGGCCATCGTATTTCTTGTCATCGCCCGTTCCCCACTTCTGCGCTGGCAGGTTGCTTCTGTCTTGTGTGTCTCTTCAGGGGTTCTTCACATGGAAGTCTTTTATCATTGAAGCTGAACGACATCTGAGTATCGGTGCCCTCCCCACTTCAGATAGGGCCCCCACCCCCCTCCCCCTCCTCCGTTGGGGTCAAGCACGGCCTCTGCTGTGATTATTACAACGATGGCTTGGCCTGTATAGATCACTTCGAAAAACGAAATATGTGGGCAGCATGGTAACATTACAGGCACTGAAACTAGTTCTTACCCAAAAAAATTGTAGACCGTGCACTGTGTTCTAAGGCAGCTGCTGTTATTTACTGATAACAGTTGATTGGTAGGTGTGACATACTAAATCTGACACGAATTGATTGGATCAGAAAAAAAATATGGGCGAAAAAGCATTTACCCTACATGAGGGCTATGCGTTGCGCGCAGTTGTGTGCGCTAGCTCAACTAGTTACTTCTACGCTACAAGGAGGGCACTTGCACTAATGTTGATAGGAAGTTGCGCTACTGCCCGTAAGGCGATATCGTCGAGTGGCAAAGGCATATACTTGAGCTGATCTGATGCTGTACGTTTATTTATTTACTTATTTATTTATTTTACTGCACTCAAGGTGCTCTTTCGCAAAAAAAACAATCCGCTAGAATACACATTAGCAAACGTAAACTTACTCGCTAATATATCTCTAAACCGCGTGTCCACATCATTCTAAAGTAAAAAGAGAATAGCAGGGAAGGGTTCCACAATCAGGTTAACCAGTTATACGGATGAGAACTTTTTTGACAGTGGTCAACACAATACTGATGTTGAGTTATTTGAGAGTGATACCATTTGATGAAAGGTCAACTCGAACAACGCAAATAACCGTGGTCATTCCCCGGCGGGCCAATGTAGCCGCCTCTTTGATCTGAATGGGAACCACAGACGGACCCAGGCGCGGGTAAGCAATCAGATAGAAGACCGGCACCTGTTGAACATTTATGATTCTATATGTGTATTGCTGGCCACGGTCACGTTATCGTTAAAAAAAGCACTTCTGACGCATGGCCGCATTTGGTCTTTCCACGCTGACTTCACCGAGACGAGTAAATTGGATGTCGATATTCGTGCTTGATTTCTACCTCCATTCAGAACATTTTCAATTTTATTTCGATGACGCAATATACGAGAAATGCACATCTGTGCAGTACTGCTCTCCATCAAAGGTAAGATATTTTTTCGAGAGTATACTTCCCATCAGGGCGATCTCTTTTGCATCTATATGTGTAGCCACCTTCTTTCAAACTGCGGCCTGCTCGTATCTGAAAAATTCCCGTAGCATGTTGGGGTATGTGAAAGCATCTGAAAAAATCAAAACGCAAGGTAAGGAGAGCCCACCAGAAAGAAAGTAAAGGAAAAGTCAAATAGCAAAATTCACTGACATTCAGGAGAAAGTGACGGAGAGCCCGAGAGTACCATGAAAAGAGTTAATATCATAGCAAAAGCGGATTGAGAAACAGTTACTGAGCGGTGACGTGAGTTCGGTGACGGGGAAGGGGTTTTGCAATTTTGCTACTTCCCATCAAAGTGTCGACCCATCTGGACAACCTCGAGTTGCAGGTTTTAACATGATGGCTTGATGAGCTTGCTCCAGCCTCACAAGTGCTCACAAACATTCACTGGAGTGATGCTCGGAAACCGGAACTAGTGAAGCAACGAAATGGAAAATGTTCCTCTCCTTCCCGAACTGCGCCCTTTTATTCAGTGATTGGGCACAACATCTGCAAACTCGCAACCAGAGAGTATTTTTAGAAGAGCTTCTTTCTGACCCAGCCAGCAGAGTGGCGGAGGATCGGGCCAAAATCAATTTGACAGGTGCGGACCGTCGTACTGCGCGCACTTCTGAATCATTTCATGATTTTTCACCAGCTACTTATCATGAAATTCTATCTCTTTTTAATCGCTTATGAGGTGAGTGCCATCCGTACCCGAGAACATATTTTGACAACACTAGAAAATGGAGGTGAAGAAAATCATCCAGAAACACCGTCCAGAGACGAAATAATGATACATCATGTGGGTCACGCAGTCCGGGACGTGATGCGAATTTAGACGGGAGGTGCGCATACAGCACAGGTACTGACTGCACAGCAACAGGAATCGTCGTTCCAGATGATTTTTATTTTGATGTGGTTCTGATCACAGTCGAAGTGGTCCTCGATCCTTTGTTCCGCGTACGTAGATATTCTGTGACTGATATCTCAAACCAAGACTCAGGATGGTCTGGATATTGGAACGAAATGAGGTTTTAAAAAAGCGAAAAAAGAGAAGTTTTAAAACGACTTATTTTCCAAATCCCTGTGGCGATGGAACTTTACTAACGTCTGATGCACTGTCGCTTCCAGCCTCCGCAGTGAGACTACAACATCCAAAGGAAGATGTGGGCGCTCAGATTAAGCTGAAGAATTTTATCTCTATAGGATTCAGAGGGACGGTAGAGGATGCTGAGGACAGGTAGTTGGTGATCGGTCGAAGAGAAATTAAAGGTGAGCAAATTAAAGGAGAAACTCAAGGAAGAGGAAGAATGAACACGTAACAGGATAGGGAGCGATTACGTACACCACAGAGAACGCTACAACTCAGTTTTCTGTTAATGCGCTTGTGATGAAAATCATTTTCGTGGAAGTATGAACCAAGGCATTTCACAATTGTAGAGGAATTTCCGAGGTTATCATTAAAGGTTTTGAAAGAAGGCTCAACTCGTTCCTCCTTGTAGCCGATAGCGCGGGGGAGGTAGTCAACGTCTGAACTCACCCTGATTTTGAGGCTTGTTCGTTTTACAAGCCATCAAAAAACCTGTCGTTTCTATACATACGAAAGATTAAGATCTAGTCCTATAAGATCTGGGCCAGAAAGGAATCGATTTCCTTAAGAGCTGCTGTTTCGAGCCCATAGTTCGAAGCACAGCCCGTTGAATAGTTGAAATTGGGCTTACATTGTTCCTGAGTTAGATGTTTTCGTATAAGGAATTATGCATAATGGCTTTATGGAGTTCAAAACGGAGTCAAGTGCCTCGCGCATGGAACATCTGGCCAGGTGTGTACGGTATTTGTTCGCGACGGGGTATGTAGGGAGGCGGTCAGTTCTACGCGCCGCCCCTTGATCCTCAACGAACAGGACTGCATGTGCCTCGCTCTAATTGTAAAGATAGACTGCCGTAATAGCTTCAATAAGTGGAAGTCCTACTTGCTGCGCTGTATGCTTGTCGAATCCCAGTCTTTCTGCAAACTGCCCTGTAGTTTTGATAGCGAAGGTTTAGATGCATATCAGCATAACCAAGACAAAATTTGGACAATTGAGATAAGCGAAAGGCAGAAAGCACAGGGAAAGACATTGATGTTTATGCTTCAGTAATTCAGTGTTATACTGTGCCTTTCGAGGAAACAGAAAAGAAACCCTCATATGAACAACCGAAACGAGCTCCGTCAACTGCAATAAACTCCTGTCGTTCACACCGTATAGAGAGCTATGAATTCACCAGTACTACGTGCGCCTCCGCTTTATGATACATATAAAAGGGAGACGCTATTTGTAATAAGTTTCACTCGGTACTAATTGACTTATGGAATAGCGGATTACTCCGCGTCTACGGTGGAACAAAGGTAATATTTCGGTCGTGTCGCGTGAGATTGTCGGTTGATTTCCAACCACTTTAACGGAAATGCTTGGATGGATTAGGCACTTGGCGGGGTAGTGCGCATCCCTTAATCCTCGAAACACTTTTAGGCCTCTGAAGAAGACGATTAGGTCGAAACGACCATCAAATAAATACCACCTAAAAACTTAAAAGCCACAATATAACCTACTGAAGTAGTGAAACACTAACATGCCAAGGTTACAAGAAGAGAGGAAACTTCGATGTATACTTTCCCAACTTCTCCAGTATGTGAAGATTCATTATATCTCCTTTCATAGTGTCGGAAAAGAGGGGCTCGTAACAACAGCCGCGTCTAAACAAACCAGCAACCTGACCCTTCTTGTTATATTTTGACACTGCTATCCATCCACAGAAGAATATACACCACCCAGAGCATTTGTTATTACTTCGCGAAGCGACACGATGGTTGTTGAGAGGTGATGGGGAAAAGGGAGTGCGCGAGTCAAACAGGAAGAAGCTGACAGTTATTGGCTCCAGAAGTAGAGAATGCTCTGTCACAGATGTATCGATGTGAAATAAACGACAAATTTGACAAGTTATTGTTTCTTACCACAGTTCCTCGATCTGAGGCACATCCAATTACACGAATAGTTTGATGTTCTCCAATAACGTTGCACTCGAGTTGAAAATGACCATCCACCTAGCATAAAATGAAAGTGAGAGCATGCCGATTGACAAACACACTAAGGTATAGCAAAGTTCGCTGCGGAAGAAGGGGCGTGCCGGGCGGGATGCTTAGCTCAGTGCCAAACCCGTTCGCCACTGTTGTTGAAGCGATCGAGTGTTAAGACTGCAACATGTCGCTCGTATCGCTCGTTTTTTGGCAAGTGTTACTTATTCGCTTCAATAGATGGCAGAGAGTGGGTTTGGCGCCGTGGCTCACTCGTGCTGCCTGTCAGCCCCCTTCACCCGTAGGAAACTGGAGCATATGAGGACTTTCACAGAAAAAAAACGAACAAGGGAAAATCTTGACCTTTGGCTATTACTGTTCTCGGATCTCTCTCTTGTCTCCAAGAAGAGACCCGATTAACTGCCAAACGGCAACATAGATTGTTATGGGATCCTTGTCGGAACCTGATCACGGAAAATTCACCAGTGGTACCTCGCACTGCTGCCACAAAGATAGCGCGTAGCTCTCCAAGACTTGATAAGCAATTAACATTAGGATACGGCGGGAAAACGGAGAGTGACGGATCATAACTGACAACAGTAGCGAGACATGAAAGGCAGATGAAGATCAAATATTACAGATGGAGGAATATTTATCCAAGCTTCTTTCGCTGTGAATATGGGTTGGAGTCACTGATGTGCCCTTAATCGGTAACGATTGGAACGACTCTGAAGAGTGTTGATGGGTGCGCTTGACACTGTCGCCGCCGCTAGTTCTTCTCTGCATGCTGATTTTTCACTATCGCTCTTGCAGTTCTTAGTCTTGTCACTTTCTGATTTTCACATCGTGCTCCCTATATCTCTTCACAAGCGAGTGAACAAGCAACTTTTTCGTTCTTATAGAGTCAAGGGTTAGGTACGAATCCTATTCTGAATAGGCATTCCAGTTGCCATCCGACAAGTGGTCACGAAGTAAATGTGTAATTTTTTGGATTATTCATTGTCAAACAGCAATGCTTTGCTCTTTCTGTGTGAAGAGTTTGGTTATTACAAAGTCCTTCGAAACCTACCCATTTCTCATATTTACTCCGAGTTTTTCCCTTATAATAGCAGGTGTCGGCTGCGACGCAAAGAGGTAGAAGAGTTAGGAGTAGTAGAAGTTCGAACCTGAAAACCTGCATTTATTGCTTTCTCGAACAAAGCTTAAACAACAAACTCTGACAGCATTAGAACTACTCAGTTTTTAGTGAATTTTTACCGCAAAAATAGCATTCTGGCTAGAGCATTCTGGCTAGAGCCTTCTGTGTTAGAAAACACCTAGTTCTCCATTTGTAGGTCATTCTGTTTACAAACACACTTTTACGGTCGAATAATCCAAAGCCTGAATGTCAGGAGGGGCAAGAGCAGCGTCCTAGGATGAAAGACTGACAGGCCAGGGTTCTGCTCTAGGGAAGTGAAGATTTCGCAAATTTGCTCTGTTTCAAGCTCAAAAACTCACAAATTCTTATCAACTGACCTCATATGAATCGCAACGTAGTGAAGAAGTGAATGACGGCAAATGAATCTCGCAGTTCACCGTGCTTTTATATTATAAAAGGTATGGCCAAGTGAGCTGATGAATTATGTACGCCTGTTTGTGCGCAAATAAATTCACAACTCTCTCTAATGTTTTTTTTACAGTCTCTCTGACAGGTAGAAAAAAATGATTATACAGTGGAAAAGCATAATTAAGGAAAATAGTGAGCTCAGAATACAAGCGCTCATTGAGCCTTCTGAAAGCACGCATCATTAGTCGCTACTCACATTCACATATTTAACGAGAACCTGGTTCTGGCCAGCGGGTTTTAGGCACGTTTTAAACACTTATTTGAATATTTTAACTTGGATATCTGTTTTTGTTATAGGTCTTGTCTGACATTTGATTTTTCTTATGGTAGTGAGGTTGCTCACTTTTTCCTCTGGAACGGACAGAGGAAATAGAGTTCTCAACGACATGGATCACTTAACTATCGAGGCTGATAATGAGAGGATTAGATAAAGCCTTGCCGTTGATCAAGCCTTTTTTAGGATGCGGCACCCATTCTTCTTCTGTTGATAGTTGTGGATTATTGAATGCAATGTGATTCGCAGGAGCCAGTCCAGCAGGCCAGTATCCTAATCCTACTAAATAATCTGGTACCATTTTACCGTCCCTGGATAGTAGAAGACTTGGTCGGCCTAGATGGGAGCCGATCCGGGATTTGACCCCACATCGCCCCCGTGGTAAGCGTGGCACATGCCACCACACCACCTCCGCTCAGCAATCACGCAAACGCTTCAAAAAATAGGATACCTCAATGGAAAGACCTGGCAATCAAAACTATTCAATAGTGTCGTGGTAACTAGCTTGAAACTGAAGTCAGAATAAATAATTTTTGTGTTTATTTCTTTTTTTATTGCTGCACTCTATAATTTATTTATACAGTTGATATCAACGATACGCAGTCAGCGGTCCCCATCTGCGTCCTTCCCACCACTAGTTGTTCTCTTCCTGAACAGATTTCTACCCCACCACCATTGGTAGAGCGAGGCTGACGGACGCGGATTTTCCGCCCTGCTGACGCCGTCTCCGCTGATTGCAATATTACACACATATAGAGCAAGTAATAAAAGCTCCACGTGCGGCATGTCGGTTCCCTGCTGATGCCACTCACTTTTGGCTGGCGGCTCAGCTTTTTGAAGTGCATAGGTTATAAAATTAGCTGAAATTTGTATACAGGGGCAATTTAACATCCTGTTGCGAATATGGCGCTCATTCTTGGCGCTAGCGCTAATGGAGGACGCTACTCTGCCAAGGGGTCCAGAAGAGAATCGTCTTGTCTTCCATTAGTGCCAGCGCCGAGAGTGAATGCCATATGCAAAATCAGAATGTTAAGTTACCCCTATACTTCTCGACGGATTTGGTAATTTGAGCACTTCAAAAACGTGCCGACAGCCAGAAGTGAGCGCGTTAAACGGCATCAGCCTTGATGGCTGGGCCACGAGACCTCAGGCGCGCTTACCAATGTGCACTGCACTGAAAAAATTACTGGCTAATGGTCACGGGCACGAACTCTTCTGCGACTGCATTGCGCGCATCGCATCGACGAAAATATGCCGCCACACCCTGCATAAAGTCACCTGTTCATAGAACAGCAATAGCTTTTTATGAAGTAGCCCACCAGGAAAAAATAACGAGATCGTGAAGAGCAAGGTTACCGCTTCTCACTGAAATAACCATAAAAGGGAGACAGTGGAGATGCAGCAGAGACTATTGAAATTACGCACGAGTTTTCGTGCTTCGAGTGGCGATAAATGTATTAGCAGCAGCTCTGAAAAGAACACGATTTCTCCCTTCAGAAATGCAGGCAGTTTTTGCTAACGACTCCGCTCATCACGAGATGTCTGCGCTGGGTACTTTTTAGGGAAAGTTGAGTCACTCAAAAATCCCGTCCCGTTTGTATTATCATTGTAAGCGAAGAAGAAGGATGCAAGACGGGTTCGTTGTTGCTGTAAAAGGCTTTCTTCTCAGCTCAAAATGCACACGAATGAGGCTGTATGGCTGTGGTGCATAAGTGCCGCCTCATACACCGTTAGCGCTATTCTCAAGGTGCAGCACTTGCATCGATATCGAGGTCCCGGTGGGAAACATGCACTCAGCGGTCCAGAACAACCAGAAGTGAGAGAGCGCAGGCCAGTAGCGCGTTTGGCTATAGTTAGGCTTGTGGTGCTGATCGTGCGCATAAAGACGTGCACTTTTTACCGGAGAAGGTCGCACATTACTGCAGCTGCAGACTCATTCTCTCCCCCTCCCCCTCACGATAGGGATCAAGAATCATTCGCGTTAAATGTTAAAAAGACCGAGTACTTGACAACCAGTCAAAATGACTTCGGCTTCATTAGAATCGGTGACCAGAGCTCAAGCGCACAAGAACATTCCAGTATCTGGGATCAGCAGTTGCCTCCGATGGCGTTCTGAACTCGGAAGTGAGCGCACGAGTGAGTGCGGCATGGTCTAAATGGCGATCCATGTCTGGGATCTTCTGCAACTAGAAAATGCCAGAGCGCTTCATGTCGAAAGTCTAAAGATCTGTCGTTGCTGGCTCGCTACCAAGGAATTTAAAGCTCGCCTCGGTGTGATGGAGATGAAAACGTAGCGCTGGACGGCTGGCGTCACGCAATCGGACCGTATTTGTGACGAAGTCGTGCGCAACAACTGGAGTAGCTGACAAAATGCGAGAAGCGCGCCCTATATGGTACGAGCATGAGCCTCGCGGCTGACACCGTCCGTAAAACCGGTCTTCAGCTCGAAAGGGTACTCGAAAAAGGGCCAAAAATGCGTTCCAAACAACGCTGGCTCGGAAAATAGACGGCATTCACCCCGTTCAGACATTCAATTGGGAGAGGGGGCGTTATTCCAGGAAGGACGCCGCCATCGAAGTGGTGACAAAAGAGACAAACGATGAAGAAGAAGTGGTAGTAGTAGTGGTAGGTACTACTAGTAGTAGTAGTGGTAGTAGTACGTTGGCGACACTTCAACCCTCATTTGAAAAAAAGTTCGCTTGAACTTCAAAGTTCCTTCACATCAGTCACAACAAAACGGCAGAGTAGTGTAAACATAAAAACAGTTTATTGAATAAATTCGAAACTTTTCAGACAGTAATCCATCGTAATTCGACACCTCCTCCTCCAACGTCGTTGCAGTTATATCTTTTATTTCCCTCAACCAGGGATCCACCGACATTAATCTTGAAAAGTATTTACTCAATTAAAACGGTTAAAAAAAAGAAAAATTGGACATATTGGGTGCTCAGTAGGTTAGTCAACATCGGAGTCTAAGGCAGAGTGTTAGAGGTTCGGATAGTTAATTGTCAATTGGTATATAGAGAAAGAGATGCCGAGGCGTTTACTCTGATTCATTGCGCATTATCTGGGAAGTCCTCTGCCTAAAAAGAAGGTGTTTGAAGCACAGATAATAACCATCAAATCTACAGCTTCACTAGCCCTGCTTCCCCTCTACAGGGGGTCGTATCTCTTTTAGTGGGAAGGAGTCATATTCATATTCAGCAGAAGTCTTACACAGCACGACAGCGTACCCTGCCTAGTCCCTCTGTTCGAGTTCTCCGAGCCCTGCTCCTTTGAAAAAAGACCAGAGAAAACATATCCTCCCACTCTAGTTCACTAATCCTTTCTTTGCGTCGCGCATTGTTAATACAACCTAATGGTCGGAAAAGAGAAAAAGTGTGCAGGAAGTGACTAAACGGAAAATAGTCCTTCTTTTGTGCTGGCAGGGCAACTGGGGAGGTATCAGAATCACCTTATGAGGCCATAGCGCATTCGCTATGTACTTATTGTGAAGCCGCTAAGTGGGGTAATCTTAGAGACTGAGAACCGGACTACGTGAATTGACAAAGGACGCCTGGACAGATTGCTTGAGTGCGGCCGGAAACTGCCGTTGAATTGCACTGTGCTTCTACCGATCTTCGACAAGCCTCAATAGTAAAATCGAACTACATCAGTACTGAAGACGGCAAGCAGGATCGTGAATTGCCGCTTCGTGCGCGCGTAATGCTGCCAACGATGCTTAATTGCACTAGTCTTTCTCCGATTCAATTAGACGAGCATGGTAGCCCTCATGTCTGTTTTTGGTCATACAATTGTTAAATCTCGATAGTACCATGTAGACCCTTATGTCTATTTTTGGTCATACATTGTATACTCTCGACCAGTACCACCTAAATCGTCGTCATTAGCGGGCGCGACGTCGCACGTGACCCCAACCGCCCACTGGCATGGCATATTACGATTCTCTTGCCACATACCCCATAGTACTGAAACTCCCAGAGAGGAAGCAGTCTTGAACAAAAGTATCTCCACTTCATGTGAACCCTTCCATTCATTTGTAATTTTTGTGTATAAAGATACCGAGAGAAGTACGTACTGGAGTGCCTGAATCTGTTAGGCATGAAACAACCGCTGTCCTCCACCCATTATCAAAAACTGTGCAGTTCATCTTAAACTGACCTTCCACCTGAAAATAGCTGTCTCAATGAGTTCGATCCGAAAAGGGAATTCGCAGATGGAAGTTCGCTCGCTTTAAAGGGACACTGAGTTCAAATGCGTTGGAAGTTGCAAAAAGAGGGATGCGTCAAGATCAGAGATATTTCCTTATTGCGCTGGTCGCTGGTGAACGCTGCCACAAAGTGTGAACGCAGCCTTACTACGTTGCGGGTGCCGATCTTTTGTCAACTGAACCAGGAGCTGAACCTTGATATTACCGCTGTTCTTATGACCGTGCGCGGGCGTTTGTTTGCCACGGGATTCATAATTCGCTTTGTAGGAATCGTGGCAGGTTGGTTCCAAGATATGATATAGAGTATGGGACAGAAACATATCTTGGGTAACAGAACTTGTTAACAGATAACGAGCCATGACCCCAGCGTTGGAAGGGGAGGGTCACCAATTCGGCGTATTACAGGTCCAAGATAATATTGGTGTAGAAT